AGATATAAATAGATATACAGAGCAGCAGGGTTTAAGGAATTAAAGCAGATTTATATAATCTTCCCCATTCTCCAGTGTTTTTAGAAACTTGACCACCAGTAAGTTCAGGTGAATGGATATAACGTGTCACCAAACGCCTAGGTTCAAATGAGCGCAAACCGGAAGCTGTATCTAGCATCTAGCCGGAAGCTTAATGCCAGCCCACGTTTGTCTATCCAACTCTCTGCTTCTGGGTTCAGAGGCCATCAGCCTCTCAAGCAGGTGAAGCAGCGAATCAGCCAACAGGATGCATGGTGCTGATCATCCTAGCTTTTCTCTCAGCCCACAGTCAGGCGCTGGGGTTTGGGTACAGTCTGAGTGTGTCCCTCCAGGCTCCATGTGCTGAAACATAAGCCCGACCGTGGGCCATGAAGAGACCAGAAACTTGATCACACTGCGTTGCTCAGAGGCAGAGCCTTTTCGAGGCAGTCAGAGTAAGGTCATGAGCACAGGCCGTGACTGAATACTGCTGGCTTTATAGGAGAGGAACAGACTGGAAGAGACCACACACACACACACACACAAACACACACACACACACACACACGCTTCCCATTCTTGCCACGTGCCGTGGGTGCAGCCTGGGGACTTGGCCAGCAGGACAAGTTTTCCAGAACCATTTGCCAACATAAAGCTCCTTTCTTTATAAAGTATCCAGCCCAGCGTGCTTTGTTACAGTAACAGAAAACGGATGAACAGAGCAGGATGTCGACAGCCCTTTCCCCTCAAAGAACGTAGGTAAAAAGCACAGGCACGGTTCCTCCCGTCTGCCTTCTGAATGGATGTGAGGAAAGCCACAGGAGGCTGCCAGTGGGCCAGGTCAGGATGCTGGATTAGGGGGCAAGATTTGTATTCCTACGGTAAACTAGAGGCCAGACCACCAGCTTAGAAACAGGCAGCCACATCAGAATTTGCACACTGCTACTCTCAACTCAGCCTTCCTTCCCCTCCATGCTCCTCAAGAGGAGACAGCAATTATGCCTCTGAGTTCACTCAGTCGGGCTGAAGTGGGCCTAAGCTTCTGAGAGAAATTGCTAAAAAGGAAACTGTAGCAGGTGTCATTTGTAGTCTTTATGCCTACACAATTCAAAGTTGCCTAGGTAGTGGCAGCCGTCCGCAAGTCCGACACATGCCTGGCATGCCCCACAGGCTCTCCCCGCGGCTGTCCCTCACCTGGTGGGTACCAGCGAGCTGCAGCCAGCCACGCAGAGACTCACTGGCCCAAGGACTCCCGATGGCTGGGCGTCATTTGCAAAATCTTCAGCCTTGGGCTTGCCATAAGTCTCCAAGTCCTGTGCATAAATCTCCCATCCTGGCTTCTCCTGACCAGGAAATTCACCTTTCTGGTGGCTCTGGTCAAGAGCAAGGCAGTGGGGCTCGGTCGGCCTGGCTCTCTGCTCTGTCTCATGCCCGTGTGGGCCCGGGAGATGCTGCCTGCCCAGCCCCATCCCTGGACACTGTCCCAGCATCCAAATCACCTCTGTCCTTCCACACCCATCCTGCACGGGGCCTTGGCCATCTCATGGGTGCCTACGATTGCTCCATCAGACCCTCTTCTCCCATGTTCTCCACAGGAAAAAGCTCTCAGTGCCCCGTGCCTGCTCTGCTTCCTTCACAGCACTGATAAGTCCAGGACTCCTGTAGCCGTCCAGTCGTCTGTGTACTTACTGCCCTCTGGCAAGGCCAGTCTGTGAGCAGAGGGCTTCTGCCGTGTCCGCTAGCACTGCCTGGCACTCGGTGCTCACAGATGAGGGGAATGCATGAACGTGGGCGGAGTGACATGCGTGCAGGACGTGTGCACTGTAGGAAACAGCTAAGGGCTGCTGCTGAAACACCGGTGGGAGCATCGCGGTACCCTGCATACCTACCACACCAAGGGGCGGGGGCACTCCGGCCACTTAGCCAGCGTCTCTGGTTGGTCCCAGTGGTGCCTGTGGGACTGATCTCACTCGTAAACCTCTCAGGTTTTCATTCTAAGTGTGCCTGGCCACTACTCATGCCCATCTCTGGGTTAAAACGTGCACATCCCGGGCCAGGTCTGGCTTTCAGAGCGGCCCACGGAAGGCTCCTGGAGGAGACCTTTCTGCGGTATTTGGCTGGTGCTAGCTGTCCGCAGCCCTTGGCCTGGACTCTGAGCTCTTACAGGGTTGAGCCCCGACTTGACTCCTTCGCTGCCTAGACTGGGGCACTTGCTCGTCCCCACAGTTCCCGGGGACCTCCCAGGATGGGCTGTGGCCTGGCCACCTATGGGATAGTCTTTGTACCTGGGTTCCCAGTGCTCACTCCACTGCAATCTGCAGGTCTAAGATAACTTTAGCCATGTTTGCCTTAGGGATGGGCAGGTGATCCACTTCCGGCAGTGACTTTGCTAGGGAGCTTTCAGAGAAGTTTTTCTTGCTCTTAAGAATGGACCAAGAGATGCCTGTCTCATCCTCTGGAAAGCACTTCCCTGGATTGGGCCTGGACCTGTGATGACCAACCCTCTGCAGTGGGCAAGTGGCCCAGGAGGATGGCAGAGCTCCCCATGGCACCTCGCAGAGGCTTCCAGGGAGGGCCCAGCATTCCTGCAGCCACTGAGCACGGATGCTGGGTGCACCAGCACGCCTCACTCCCACCTCCCCCGGAAGGGCTTGGGGCCCTGGATCACAGCCTCGGCCCTCCAGGAAGCCCTTCCCCTGCTGCACTGAGTGTCCACTTTCCCAGCTAAGAAAACATGGGCTGCACTGTAGCCGCAGTTCCCACTCCATGCAAAAGAACTTCTTTCTGGAGGTATCATTTACAGGACATCAAACTCACCTTCTCCTAAGTTTTATAATTCAGTGCTTTAATGCATTCACTAGCAATGTACAGCTCTCACCACTGTCTGGTTCTAGAACAGTTTCATCACCTCAAAAGTAACTCATAGCTGCTAAGCCATCAGTGGTCTCCGGGGCCCCAGCACTGGCAATGAATTGGTCTGCTGCCAGTCGGAGTAGGTCTGTGTCTTCTGTTCACATGAGTGGAGTCGCACATGTGTGGCGATCTATCCCTGGTTTCTTTTGCTTAGCATAATGAGGTCTTAATTTTTTTGTTTTTGAAGCACGGTCTCACTAGTTGAGGTTGCCTTTGAACTCATTATGTAGCCTGGGTTGGCCTCAACTTCACTATCCTCCTGTCTCAGCCTCCCAAGGGCTGGGGTTACAGGGTTGCATCACCATGCCCACGTAGCATAATGTTTCTAAGGTCCCTCCAATATTGTAGCATGAATCAGCACTTCATTCCCTTTCATGGCTGAATAATATTCCACTGTGTAGAGACACCATAATTTGTTTATCCATTCAGTCAACTGACATTTTGCTTCTTCCCATCTTTTAGCTGCTGTGAATAGTGATGTGATAAAACATCCACAGACAAGTTTTTCTGAGAACACTCATTTTCAATTCTTTTGCATAAACACTTAGGAGTAGAACTGCTGGGTCATGCGGTAATGCTGTTTAGTTTTTTAAGGAGCCACAAACCACTTATCATAGCGGCACGGGCTTCTTGTCTTTTGTTTAAAAATATTTTCATTACAGTAAAAAGCAATCATTAAATTTACCATTGTAACCATTTGAAGTGTGCAGTTCAGTAGTGTTAAGGATATTTGCACTGTTGTGAAACTCTTCCTGAAACTCAGTACACACTAAACACTAGTTCCCCATCCCTGCCCACCCCATCCTCAGTAACCACCGCTGCTCCTGTATCTGCGCCATAACGACCTTAGGAATCTCACGCAAGGCATTTGTCCTTCGGTGCTGATTCTTTCACTCAGGGCAATGCCCTCAAGCTCCACCCATGCTGCAGTGGGGACAAGATTCCCCTCCCCTTGATGTCTGACTACTGTCCCACAGCGGACATCTGCCACATTTTGTGTACTCATCTGTCGATGAACATTTGGGCTGCGATTGTACACAGCACTTCTGTGAACCTTTGGGAGCACAAATATCCCTGGGGCACCTGCTTCAGCTCTTTTGGATAAATGCACAGAAGTGGGAAACAACACCAACAACAACACCAGGGACTCCTTATCCAGGAGATGTTTGGTATCTGGATCCTTTTGGGCTTGCAGCAAGATCTGCAGTCCTACGTCTCCAGGGACCTCCTTGGTAGCACCTGGATTAGGGCACCTCGGGCCACACCCAGCCCCAGACCTGAGGATTCTATGTGCATTTTCCGAGTGTCACGCGCCCCGAGTACCCCTAGTGACTGCAGCCCTGCCCCAGGATGCGCACATCCTGCCTGAGCTCGGACGGCCCACAGGACAAGAATCTGCCCCCCCATGTGGCACTGCTGCCCACTCACCAGCTGGAAATAACCAGTCATCAGGTTCCTAAGTTACTGAGCTGTCTTCCTTTCAAAGAATCAAAGTCTAAGCTAATGAGTGCCGATCCACCGAGTATTTTCAGAGTGCTGTGTGTCTGAGACTGTCAAAGCCATCGGGACTTATTTACATGAAGAGGGTTTAAAAGTTTTAGGTAAGTAATTTCAATGTAATGAACTCAATAAAGGGCTGTGGTTTCTATGTAGTTACTATTGCATACTGTATCCTGTAGATTCTGACTGCTAGAGAGGAGCTTTAAGTCCCGCTCATGGGCTCATGCGATAAGAAAACACTGCGGATGCACAGCGTAACCCTTTGAGTCATGTCACGGAAGCAGGAGCGTCGTCTATTGGGACAGCAGAGCTGTGAAGGGAAGGCGCCCTCTTTCCGTCTGGTAAGAGGAGCTCTCCTGCCCAAGGCCGCTCTGAGGCTAATCCATCACACCTGGTGTCCACGTCCCTTACAGGGCAGGTGCTGCACAAATGCTGCCTTGAAGCCCGACCTGCAGCTGACCCCTGAGCAGAGCAAGCCTTGCGCCTCCTTCTCATTCCCAGTCCTGGGTCTGGCCAGGACGCTGAGTCGCACAGGCGCCTGTCTGTCCCACGGCTGTGTCGAGACTGACCTGCCAGGCTCCAGGCCTCTTCTGGCGCCCGAGATGGAGAGGAGGCAGCAGGCTGGATGCAGGAGCAATCGGAGCCTGGGCTTCCGACATCGCCGATGACTTCTAGGGCCAAAGTGTCTATGTCAGAGGGCGATTCTGGCAAAACTGCTTAAAATGCTCATCACTGCATTACTATGGATCAGGCTGAAATACACCCATGTGTAGGTTTGAGAAGAAATGTTTAATACCCGCTATGCACCACAACGAAACTGATATTGGGGCCACCACAAACCAATCAATGACTAAGGCAGTCCCTTGTGCTTAAGGCTATAATTTAGTCAGAAAGATGGGCTAAACATTAAAGAAAACTATTCTATTTACTTTTTAAATCTAAAGAAACAAAGCAAAACAAGTTAAGTTTTGCCATCATCTACTCCATGGACTGCTTCACTGTCCCTCATTCTGTCCCATGGTCCTGGCTCCAGAGGAAGGACGGGGTCCTCATCCATTCCCTTGCTTCAGGGTCCTGCATCATGGCTGGTGGGGTAATGAATCAAGTTCTCTAGTTTCATCCCCGAGAGACCCCAAGTGCCTCGAACTGTGCCCAAATGTACAGTGAATGAATTTAAACCAGCATCTACAAAATGGACAAGTGGTTTAAGAAAACTCCTGTGAAAAATACCCTGAAGGCTGAAGTTAATCCAAATACAAGCACAAATGAACAAAAAGGAAGGGCAGCCCTGGAGCTTCCACTCATTAACAGCAACATTACAAACACCACAATCTAATCAGATTTGACAAGGCACTCCCCCTCAGCCCCTGAAATTACCCAGAAGGTCATTAGAAATGTAGATTCATATCCTGACTCACTAATGAGAAGCTTCCCCTCAAGGGTATTTGGACCTTGAGACAGTAGCTAATAGCACAACGTTGCCAGGATTAGCCACACATTGGAAATGTTGCTTATTTCCGTTAGCTAGTATGTTACCATCCATTTCCTATGTGCTTCACAATTTACAGAATGGTAGTATCATACAGGTGTGCAGATTTAAACATACACATACTGGGGCCAAATTCAGAGAGCATTCTTTTGCACTGATGGGGTGCATGCTCAAAGTCTGGGGTCACACCTCTGGTGAAGAGCACCCACCGGGTCTGCAAGGCAGGTGTGGCTGTGCTTAACGTGAGCAGCAGTGGTGGCGCGGGAGCAAGGGGCTCCTCTGCCACATGGGCTTCGCATCAGCAAACTGTGCTTTGGGGCTGTCAGAGCCAACACTGCCAATCAATGTCCAGGGCATGAGGGGCTGACGCCTGCTGCTGAATGGTGCCCCTCACCCCGCAGGACACGCGCCGAACCTTCACCCCCAGGACCTCCACACGCGGCCCTATTTGGAAAGCGGGTGATGTGGATGCAGTTAGTTAAGGCAAGGGCGTGCCGGAGCAGGGCAGGCCCCAATCCAGCAGGAAAACACCTTTCTGCAAAGCGGGGGTTGGTCACATGCACGTGCACAGGCCAGGGCCACACAAGGCCTGGAGTTCTCTGGCAGCCAAGGCCTCTGAGAAGCCAGAGGGGCTGGGACAGTCGGGGTGCCTGAACAGGAGCACAGCCCTGCTGATGCCTTGACCTGAATTTACATTCTGGCTACTGCAACCACTCGGTTTGTGGTCTGCTCTCATGGCAGCGTGGGAACCAACCCCTGACCTCTCTGAGGAGAGGCAGCCTGCTGGGGTCCTGCCCATGGGGACAGGGTGGCCGTGACAGGGTCTGTAAGATCCACAGAGAGGGCTGAAAGCGGACACCAAAGCCCCACTGTGGCCTCTCGTGGATTCCACCTGCCAGGTACTTAGTGTGCAGTTGATGCTGCCGGCTGACCTGGACCAGCTAGAAACGTGGGGTCCTGTGCCAGCTCTGTCAACTTCCAATGCCCCAGTTCAAGCGATTCCTTCCACGCTTCCCTTGCTGGTCTGCAAACCGCAGCACTTCATCAGTGCTCGTTCTGCTGCAGATTTTGGACACTGAGCTATGAGTCTCGCTTGGGCAACCCTGACAGGAAGAGCTGCTGCTCCAATAGCAACTGAGTCCTTCCCCATTTTTCTTACTGGGACAGACTGGGGCTGTTACTGGGGCTGTTCATTACTGTTTATGGTGCCCTGCAATCCTGCCTCAAATGCTTTTTGTTTTCAGGATCTCACTCTGCCTTCCTATGGTTCTCCCAGAGGCATCTCAGGCCATAAGTAGGTACCAACCAGCCAGTCCCTTCCTGCAGACACTGCGTGTCGCAAGGCACTGAGCACGTGGAGGCCCTGCCTTGGTCAGGACAGGGTTCTGTGGCCGGCTGCAGGCCAGCGCCTGGGGCTGCCATGTCACACGGGACATGGTCTCTGGTTGGCTGCAGCCTCCACACAAATTCCCGGGGAAAAGGACACACGCTTTACAGGCAGCTGACAACGGCCCAGGATAAAAGAGGGCAGTGGGACGTGTGCGTGATGTTGACATTGGCTCACCACTTGGAACCCTTAATGATCAAACACTTAGATCACTGCTCAGAAACAAAAGTTTCTGAGCACACCGGCCACAAGTTCTAAGCTGGCACTGAGCTGTGACTTCTTATAACGTCAGAATTCTTAATTTTCTACTTCTTACCTGATCAGTTAACTGCACTGTATCATTAAACATCACCATGGGTCACAATTTGGCATCTGTTACGAGCTCATCTGTGGCTCCCAAAAAGGCTGTGTCAGAATTTGAGGCCTCCAGTACGTCAGAATGTGACCTCGTGTAGAGACACGGTCTTTGCAGAGGTAGACAGTTAAAATGCAGTCACCAGGGCCGGCCCTAATCCAGCAAAGGAAATGCGGACTCAGGGAGAGATGAAGAAATCCCAGGGAGACTATCAGGTAAAGGCCCAGAACGAGAGATGCATGTATGGCCACGGACACTGGAGTTGGCTGGCAAGTCAAAGGAAGCTCAGGAGAGGACGGGACACATTCAACTTCAGATGAACCCACCCTGCTGCCCCCTCCATGGCAGACATGCAGCCCCAAGGACAGGCAGGCAATAAACTCCGCTCTATCAGCCACCAGTGGATGGTACTTTGTGAGGCAGATGTGTTAGTCTATGCAGCTGGGACAACACACCCGGTGTACACAACTTAAAGAGGAAAGGTTTATGTTGGCTCATGGTTTTAGAGATTTCGGTTCATGGTGGGCTGGCTCCAAAGCAGAAATGTCATGATGGAAGAGCCTGGTGGAGGAAAGCTGCTCACCTCATGGCAGCCAGGAGCAAAGAGACAGCAAGAGCCTGAGAAAAGCAAAACCCCTCAAAGGCCCACTCCCAGGGCCCTATCTCCTCCACCTGGCCTCTACTCCCTAACAGCTCACTTGGCCATGAACCCATCAGTTCAGTCGCCTTCTGCATTCCCCACCTCTGAGCTAGGAGACTTTCCCGGGACATTTTAGGGCCTAACCACAGCAGCAGCCACAGGACACTAACAGTCTCCCTAACTCACAGGCAAACATCATCAGCGAATGCTAAAGCAGCAGGTGGAAGTTGGAGGAGAATCAGGATATTCACATAGCCTCAAAGTCTCTCCTCAACACACACTTACTAGTTCCAACGGGCAAGACGGTGAAAAGATACCGATTAGTTACAAAGGAAACACTGGGCAGACACCATCTCAACCAGGCTGTCAAAGCTGGCAATGCCAGTCGTGGGCAGGGAGACATCAGGGCCTCTGCTCTGATGCACCTGGAAGGACCGTTCATGGCTTCTGTGACATCCATATCCCCAACTCATGCCTTAAATGCAAACATGGGGAAACACGAGACATCAAGTTGAGGGACAGTCTACAAAATAAATGGCCTGTACTTGTCACACATGTCAAGGTCCTCAAAGATTAAAAAGGCTGGAGAACTGTTCCAGATTGAGAAGCACTACAGAGGTGTAACCCAATGAGGCTATCATCCTGGACTGAAATCTGAGGCAGGAGTGGGGTGATTGGCCAAATCTGAGTCACGTCTGCAATCAGATCAGATAACAGCCCCGTTCCAGTGTTAATTTCCGGATTTTGGTGCTTAGGTGCTCCTTGTTTTTAGTAAGTACAACTGAAGCACTCAAAGAGGAAAGTCCATATAGACAGAGGAAAATTCAGATATCCATAAGGCTAAGAGATGGGAGCAAATGAGGTGAAATGGTACCAGGAAGGGAAGATGGTGTGGACTTTATTTACTGTCTTTTTTGGGGCAAAGTTTTGGTAGCTCTAAAATTATTTCAAAATAAAATTTTAAAAAAATCACCACATATGCAATAACAGCTATCGCTCATTGAACACCTGGAATGGTGGTCATATACATGCATATATATGCCTCATAATATATTTATTTAGCCCATTAATTATAATTGAATGAGGCAAATTTTATGATTCCCATTAGCACTCCAGGCCTCACCCTGAGTGTCTCACGCAGAGGCCACGAGGGTTGGGAGGCAGGAGCACCAGGAAACTCCCATTTCAAGACTGTCTCATACACAGAGCCTGCTGAAGCCTGAGCCTGGGGCAGGAGGACAGACCTTCCAGGGACTCATACCCTGAGCTGGTAGGGATGGGAAGGTTATGCCCCATCTTCAGTGAATCTGATATTTGTGATGACTTGAATCCAAAGGCAACAGCACAGCCCAGGCCCAGTTCAAGTACATATACTAAACTGACTCTCTACACACACACCACACACACACCAATATGAATAGCCCTGAGCAGAAAGGGCACTTCTCACCGTTCTCTGGACTGATAAAAATATCCTTTATTTCATTCTCTAGTGCTTATTTCTGTTGCTATGTTCTTTTACACACAGGGTGCTACTTTAACAAAACATTATGAGACACTTGAAGAGGTGATGTGACCCACTATAAAGAAATAAACAGTAAACAGAACTAGGAACCAGACCTGGAGGGCCCAGATGTTGGAATCACCAGATGGGGACTTAACAAGAATTATGATAAATGTACACAAATTTCAGCAGACAAATTCAAATTATGTATTTTAAAAGCCAAGTGGAAATGGAAGAAATGAAAAACAGGATATGAGAGATGAAGAATTCTTTCATGGGCTCATCGCGATACTGGGGTC